AAAAGGGAAACACTGATGGCATGGAAAGAACATTGAATTTAAAGTCAGAAGGCCTGGGTTTGAGTCCTACCTCTAACACTTAGTATTACCCTGAAAAAATTATTTATTCTATATCTTTTTAATTCACTCTATAAATATTAGTCAGGGGCAGCTAGGTAGTGCTTTGGATAGAGTGCTGAACCTGGTGTTATGAAGACTCATCTTCCTGAGTTCAAATATGACTTCAGACACTATCTATGTGACTCTGGGCAAGTCACTTAATCCTGTTTGCCTCAGTTTCCTCACCTGTAAAATGAGATGGGGGAAGAAATGACAAACCACTCCAGTATCTTTGCCAAGGAAACCCCAAATGAGGTCACAAAGAGTTGGACATGACTGAAATGACTAAACAACAGCAACAATAAATTAGTTATGTATTATTCAGAATAAATAAAATAAATAAAATTCTGTGTATTTCTACGTTCTTGTTTTTCACAGGTTGAAAATGGGAAAAAATTGATCAACATGGTCTAGAGAAATTTTCTGAGGAAATATTTGGTATTATTTAGATTGTCTCTTAAAATTTTGATCCACAGGAAAACTTGATTGAATCAGTTCCAACTAATTTATAAATCAACAATCCAGATAGAAGTTGAACTTCAGTTTAATGTTTAGCTTTTCTTGAAGTACAGTTCCATGACTAATGACTAGTATAAGAAATGAGGAAGAATGTATTATTGTGTTATAAAGTAATAAGTGTAATTTTTTCCAAAATCCTCTATAACTCAGGTTTGTCATTAATTCATAATATCTTTCCCCATTCTTGCTCTATACTCATTGATTCAAATTAATAAGACTTTACTCTGTAGATATCCATCAAAATGTAGAATAAGATCCATAATGGTAAACTAATGAGAAGGACAAGCTATTGCATGCAAAATGAAAAATTAGAGAATGGATCAATGACTATCACCCAGAGGAAGTAGCGTGCTATGATGGGAAGAGCATTGGCTCTTGAATCAGAAGATATTGGTTCAAATCTTGCCTTCAGTGTTTACTACCTGACATTCTTCATCTGCAGAATAATGGAATGGGTCTAAACTACCTCTCAGGTCCCTTCCAGATCTAAATCTATGTTGCTAGGCTATTGACTCATAGGTATCATCTTTCAAGGACATAAAAACAGTAAATGAATTTAACATTCCCAGAAAAAAAAAACTGTCAAAGGAGTAGTTTTCCATTGGTGCCCTTCTGTTTTGTTTTTTGTTCATCTGGTTGTTTTCCCCCAGTTTCTAGCCTCTGCTCTGACAACATTGGTAGATTTCCACTTGATTTTATACTTAGTAGAATAGCATAAAGAAAGTTATATCTGGTTCTAAGAATAAAGGACCAGCACCAAATTCACTTGATGGTTATGGTTTATGAGTGCTGTCTGAAAAGTTCCATGGATAATGGGGCTATTACTTCTGTTTAACCTTATAGATAAGTCACAGTAAATGATGGCAATGGTGATGGTTTAGTTTTGGCTTGATGTCAGGAAAAACTTCATAGCAATTAGAACTATCCAAAAATGGAATGAGTTGCTTTGGGGGATAGTGGATTTCTCCTCAATGTGTCACCAAACACAGGCTGGATGACCACCATGCTTAGTATATTGAAGAAGGGATTATTTTTCAGATAAGGAATGGATTAGATGGTCACTTGAGTTACCTTCTAACTTTAAAATTCTATAATTTGTGGATCATAATTTTATGGTCCAATTCATTTTCAGTCCTTGAGAGCCCCATCTTCAGAGTTAACACTGTAATGGGCTGTTTGAGAATGTCTTGGTCTAGAAACCTGGTGGATTGAATCTCCACTGAAAGGCACAAAATCATACATCTGGAGTTGGAAATAATCTTATTTGTCTTCCAGTTCAACCCCCTCATTTTAGAAGCGAGGAAACGGAATCCCAGAACAGATTAAACTTGCCCAAGGATCATAGGATCATAGGTTTAGAATTGGAAGGAACCTTGGAGGCCTTCTGATCCAACACCCTCATTTTATAGATGAGAAAACAGTGACTCAAGGATATTAAATGACTTTCCCAGGGTCACATAAATAGTCATTACCAAAGCTAGAATTTGATCTCAGGGCCTCTAAAGCTAAATGTCATATTATTTTCATTATATTAAGCTGTCTTAAGTAGAGTTCTTTTTGAACAAGGGAAAAGATTAGGTTCCTTTCAGACTCTAGAGTTTTTAGAGTAAGCAAAAGTTTAAAGTTAGAAGGGAGCAGCAACAATGGTAGAATTCTGGATCATGCTGTGCAGTGAGATTACATATATATAAATATTCCATCCCAGATGTTCCTTATCCCACAGCTGTCAATTTAAGTGTCTTCAACTTCATGTGTAAATGTAGTAAGAACATGCATGAAAGACCAAAGCAAGAAGTAAAGACTTTCTTAGAGTCGTGGGTATGTGTGTGTATGTGTGTGTGTGTGTGTGTGTGTGTGTGTGCCAGTATACACATGTATGCAAAGAGGCAGGAAGTCTAACTAGATGCTCGCATTCTTGCAGATGGTGCAGTGGATACCCTGCAGAAGTCTGTCTATGCTGCACTTACCCTACATGCTCCAATTCCAGAATTTTCTCTTCGAGTTTGACTATACTTTTCATTTATTTATGGGCTCAAGTAATCAATTTCAAATGTCACCAGAAGAGTGTAATACATTCTTGCTGAGAATACGACTTTTCTCTTGCTCGGCAACTTTATTCTTTAACATTTGTCTAGCAGGGTAACTGTTTTACATTAGCCCTAATGGTGTTTATATTGGTTACAACAATGTTTAAGTCGTGGGGACATATTTGTTATTCGTACCGAGGCAGTGGCATTGTTTAGCAGAGTATATTAGTATTGATAATATTTTACTAGAGACACTGCAGAGATGTTTATAATAATAGCAAGGCTGTTTATCTTACCACGATTATGTTTAAGCAACTTTAATTGTATTCATATTAAACAGATCAATGCTGAAACTGATGTAATGTGTTTAGCATCAATACAAAGGTTGCTAAGTTTGGGGGCTTTTAGATGGAATTAAAGGAGCAGCAAGACAATGGAACATATGGAAAACATTTTGGCTCCTCTCTTCTTGTCTAACAAGAAGGATTAGTGCATTTGCTAAGATACAGTATATGATGTACAGTGGGATCAAAATACAAGCATCTGTTTCACTTATGAGCAGCCTCTTTGTGTGTGTGTGTGTGTGTGCACATGTGTGCGCACGCGCATGGGTACATGCAAGCTAAACCTGAGCGCAGTGCTGGAAATTCTTCAGATGCTTCCCAGCTGGCTGTCGCTGGCTAAGATGTTTCAAAATGTATTTTGTAATGGCTTATAAAAGTACCACACTGTGTACAGGAGGTTATTAAGTGTGATATACTGTGTATAAGAATGTTCCAAATTCCCTCCGCACTGTATCTATCAATCTCGCTATATTAGGGCTGGCAGAGAAACAGCTGTAGCAAGGATCTGGACTTTATCTCGAACTGAAAGGAGTGTCCTAATTATCTACTCATCATAGCTACCCCACTCGTGGTGAAGTGAGATCACTCCTATCACATGAAGAGAAATTCCGTATTCCCAGCTTCACTGCTTAGTCCTTATAAATGTGAAAGAGAAGCAATTGTTTTGAATTCCATCAGAGACCTGCAGTCCAAATGGCTCCTTAGAAAAAGTCTCCCATCTAGAGCATTCCTCGCGCTATGCCCAATTTTGAATTAACCCATCTAGGCTCAGTTTCCTCCATCTGTGTTCCAAAGTTTCTTTTAACCACCAATGTCAATTTAGTAGATGTGCATTAAGTACTTACTGTGTGCAATTCGATTCAATAAAGCAAGCATTTTACAAGCACCTACTATGTGCCAGAAACTGTGCCAGGCACTAGGGATATAAAGAAGAAATATAAGAGTCCCGACCCTTGAGGAACTTGCATTCTATTGAAAAAAAAAATAGTGAAGTATAGTAGTTAATTAGACATAGTTAAGTAGATATATACAAAGTAATTTTAGGTGATGAAACTATTAACTGATGAGAATTGAAAGATCTCATATAAGGAGAGAAGAACTTGAACCGAGAGTGAGGAATTACAAGAGATGGAGAGGAAGAGGAGGAGGAAGATGAGGAGAGAATACACCAGGTGAGGGCACAGAGGAAAGAGATGAAATACATTATAAGAAAAATAGCAAGTAGACCAGTTTAACTAACCAGTAGATGATGGAGGGCATTAGGCCAGTCTGCAAAACTAAGTAAGAGTTAGATTGCGAAGGCCACTAAATAGTGAAAGGCAAGTTTATATTAATGTGTGATGTATGTCCTAGAGGCAAAAGGGAGGAGCCACTGAGGTTTTCTTGAGCTGGGGAGTAACATGGCTAGATAAATTCTTTAATACTTACTTTAATATTCATATTAGTTTTCCACACTGAACCTTGGTGAAAAATGCTGAAATGGAGCAAAAAAATCCAGGTTCCAAGCATCCTTTTGGCTTTTAATGTATCTTGCTCTTGATGATTTTCTGTGGTTGAAAAGAATGGCTTCTGATAAACCTCCAATGCAATTTTTTCCTGGTATGGAAATTCTTATAAGCCTTCATTGAAAAGCTCCTTTTAAGCCTAAGAAGTTTTTTCACGTGTCCCCATCTCAAACCCTTTTATAATGTGAACATACTGAGTATCTTCGATGTTAAAGCCATCTGTCAGTTAACTTCAGGCTGTATTGGAAAACATGGATAATAAATTGTGAACAAGGTATTCAAAATATAGCTTGTCTCCAATTTTTGGTGTTAGTATGGCCAATTTAATAGCATCCTGGACCCTAAAGGAGATACTCAGTTTGGATGAGACCCTGACAACCTTCTTGGAGTTTACTGGTTCCAAGTCACAGAAGAAAGAACCAAGGACAAAGTTGATTTCTTTTTGTTTTTAAGTTTTTACATAGTTTATTTGTTCTCTGATCAAAAATTATCTTCCTGGATAAACATCTTCCATAGTGCCTTTAATCCTTCTTTTTGCCAGCACCGACATTTGTTTTTGCAGTACCCCTGACTTTCTTCATTCTGCTCTTGCGTTCCTTTCGCTGTTTTCTTGATGTCTTTTTTGCAAGTCTGTGCTTTGGTTCATTTTTCTTTGCATAGTCAAGGGAATCATAAATCATGCCAAAGCCTGTTGTTTTGCCACTACCAAAATGGGTTCTGAATCCAAAGACAAAAATGACATCTGGAGTTGTCTTGTACGTCTTGGCCAGTTTTTCTCGAATTTCAGTCTTGGGCACTGTGGCCTTTCCAGGATGAAGGACATCTATAACCATCTGTTTACGCTGAAGAAGTCTGTTTGTCATGAACTTCCTGGTTCTGATGGTTACAGTGTCATTCATGGTGGCGGCCGGCTCCTCGCGCAGCAGGAGAGGGAAAGGCAACAAAGTTGATTTCAAACCCAGAGGTTGTGACAATTTAAAATTGTGGATGATTCAGAATTTGCCTTGACTAATGAATTTAATTTAGAGATAACAATTTTAAATACATTTCTTAATACAAAACAAAATCAACTTTCTCTCACAGTACACATAAGGATAAGAGTTTTTTAAATACCTTGATTTTAGAACATGGAAGAAACTTAGAACATGAAAGAAAAACACTAATCCGGTCAGAAGTTAAGTTACTATTCCATTTCATTCCCCCTTCCCCCTTTCCCTCAGCACTCAGGCCTGTCACACCCACCTTCTAATAGCCTCTTATTTACAAATAACTGAGCACAGTTTCTTTCTGATGTCAATTCAGGCTTCTCCATTGGATGTTTTCTGGTTACCCCAGGCAATTAGTTAGGAGAAGAACAGGATGTTCTCCTGTGGTGCCGGAATCAGATTCTCCTAGTGCCTAACAGCTCTTTGGTAGTACATTAGGCCTATTTTGATGATTGTTTTCCAGAAATATGGGTTTCCTAACAGAATCCTGAAAGCCCAGAAAAGTTCATAAAGTTTCTAAATGTTCCTGTTTACCCCTTAGAGAGCAAATTACACATTGAGAAACAAAGATGATCAATCCAACCAAAAGATTTCTCTCCCAACATCCTCAAGCCAGCTTCTCCATACCACCTTGTTACAAGCACAGATGATTTCTATTTCTCTTACTTCTATTAGAGTGTAACTAGTCAGGTATTATTTTAGAATAAATATTAGGAAATACTAAAGTAGGTGAAAAGGAAGGGCCATTGTTGGAGACGAGTATCTTCTTTCTCTGGAATGTGGTATAATGAATGATGACGACAATAGCACCAATTTATTAGCCATGTCACCAGCTAAAGGAGAAATAAAGGAGGGATAGGCCTTCTGCTCAGGCCACAGTGTAAAGTCAATGGACAACAGTGAGAAGGCTGAATTACTCAACTTCTATTTTACCTCTTTATTCTCTTCCTAAGAAAATGATCTTTGGAGCTGGAAAGAGAAAGCGAAAAAAGTAAGGAATAGAAACTCAAGCTAAGTAAGACTCATTGGGAAACAAGCAAGATAATACCAGGTAATGCGTTGAGGTCATCAAATCTAAATGAACTACATCTTACAGAAAAGAAAGAATTTGGAGTTGTGGTTGCTGAGACCCTAGTGGTAGAGGCTGAAAAATGTAGGATAGGGATAGGTGCCACAGGGTTAGATGACTACAAATGTCCTGATTGTCCAAAATGGGAAAAGTACAGAACGTGCACACTGTGACCCAGTGATCTTGACTTCTATTCCTAGTAAAAATTTAAGACATATCATTAAAGAGATGGTTTGTAAGCATTTAGACAGAAAAGCAGTGATTAATTTTAGCCACACGGCTAATGACATTTACTTTTTTGACAGGATAAATTTATTGGTAGATCCAAGGAATGCTATAGATATAATACAATTAGCATTCACCAAAACAAGTATCAAATGATCTCATACTATCCTTGTGGACAACATGTCCACAGGTAGATAACAGGCTAGATTATAATACATTTAAATGGTTTTAGAACCTGGTTAAATAACTAGACCAAAAAAAATAGCCAATAATAGATCTGCATTACCTCAGGGAAAGGACTGTAATGGATTATCCAAGAACCTGTCCTTAGCCCTAGGCTGTTTCTCATTTTTACTAGTGACTTGAATAAAGCCACAGAAAGCATGGTATTCAATTTGGAGATGACATAAAACTAGGAGGGATAATTAACAAGTTTGGGCTGAAGTCCAAAAAGATCTCAATAGGCTGGAATGATGGACCAAATAGAGATAAATATAAAGTTCTACCCTCAAATAAAAATTTCTACCTCAAATATAAAGGTTCACAAAACAATATCCTAACAATAGAATGGAATATGGCTCAGACTCCAGGCTCAGAGCAGAGTCTTACTTCCACCATCTAGCCAAACTGCAGTTTTATTTCCCACCTGGAAGCATTCATTTGACTTCTTGGGCACCTCTACCATGCCCCAGAATGGGCTATATCTCCTTAAATCCCCCTCCTCCTCTCCACACACAAAACAAACATTTTTAGCATTCTCTTCTATGTTTTCTTTCTGCATTAGATTATAAACTCCTTGAGAGCAGGGAATATCTTTTTTTGCACTTGAATCCTCAACACTTAGCATAGTACATGGCATGTAATCAGCACTTAATAAATGTTTATTGCCTGATTATTGCAGAGGAATAACTAAGGCTGGAATCCCAGACCAAAGGGAACCTATAATTCTGTCACTTTAAATCAGCAGAACTGCACAGCTGGCTGAGAAGCGCATTCACTAGTGTTGTTCAGATCCAAACCTAGGTCAGGAACTTACAGAGATCAAACAAGGGAGGCACATATCAGACTTTTCCCTGAATGAGACCAGTGTGGCAGAGCCCAGTCCTGATATCAGGTCAAAAGTTAAGAAGTAGACCAGAAGAAAAAGCAAACAAACAAACAAACGAAAAAAAGAACCCCACCATAATGAGCTATTATTTGTGGTGGAGATGCTTAAGACACCAACACAGAAGAAGATAATGACTCCAAAATATCTTCAAGCAATGTCTCAGAGGAAAACACAGCTTGATCACAAATTTAACTAGAATTCCTGGAAGAGATGAAGCAAGAATTAAAAAACAAAGATTTAAAATTTTTTAATAAATAAAATTAAAGTATTTGAGATAAAAATTTGAAAAGAAGTGAGAGCTGGAAATCAAAGGTATGTCCATTGATTGGGAAGTGGTTAAAGAAGTTGTGATGTATTATTGTGATGGAATTATTACTATGCTGTAAGAAATGACGAGCATGTTGATTTTAGAAAAACATGGAAAGACTGCATGAAATAATGAAGAGTACAGTAATAGCAATACTGCGAATAGAATCAAAGAATAACTGAACAACTAAGTTATACTAAGTATTATAAATACTCAAATCAACTACAAAAGACCTATGAAGGAAGATGCTATCTACCTCCAGAGAAAGAACTGATATATAGAAGTATGCATAGTAACGTTTTACATACACATGCGTGCACGCACACACATGCACATATGCATGTCTCTGTGTGTATATGTGTGTCTGTGTGTGTGTGAAATGGTGGCCTTCTCTAGTGCAGAGTGTGGAAGGAGGGAGGGAGTTTGGAACTTAAAATGGAGCCAAAAAAATAAATAAATAAAATTTTTTTTAAAAGTGCTATAGAAGAAAGAATTGGAAAGGTAATTAACAGCTTGGCACAAAAGGTATAAAACCTTATTCAAGGAACAAATTCCCTGAAAATATGAATGGACCAAATAGAAGCCAATGAGTCTATGAGGCAACAAGAATTATTAAAACAAAATAAAAAAACTAAAAACACATAGAAGAAAATGCAAGGTATCTCAGAGTAAAAATCACTGACTTAGAAAAAGATTGAGGTGAAAAAAATTTAAGAATCATTGAACTATCTAAACACTGTGACAAAAAAAAGCCTACATATAATATTTCAAGAAATTTTAAAAGAAAAATGCCTGGATCTCTTAGAATCAGAGGGCAAAGTGGAAATAGAAAGAATATACTGGTCACCTATAAGAAATCCCCAAATTGAAACTCTCAGGAACATTAGAACCAAAATCCAGAACTTTCAGGTGAAAGAAAAAATATTGCAAGCAAAGAAAGTATTGAAGTACCAAGAACCCATAGTCAGGATCACACATGATTTAGAAGCCACCACTATAAAGAAGCAGAGAATTTGTAGTGCATTATTCCAGAAGGCAAAGGATATGAGCTTTCAGCCAAGAGTAATTTACTGAGCAAAACTGAATAATTTTTTAATGCATAAAATGAAATACATGGGATTACAAAGGAATCCAATTATATTGAAATGCAGTTTAAAAAATCATGTTCTCAGAATTAGGTTATCTAAATATTAACAATAGAAACATGTTCAGGGGCACCAGGTTCCCTGCTTTGCAGTCATTTTAACCTTTTCAGAATCAGTTTGTTTCAGACATGTTGCATATGATTTTCCTGAGGGTCATCTCAAATGGAATATAAGAATTAAGGACTTCCAGAGATTAACTGGAGTACTTCTAGTCCTCTTCAGCCCTCTTTCCCCTCTCCCCATCTCCTGGACCTACAACACGAGATGGATTGAATGGATGTCTTATTTCATTCACTATTGGTCTACTTGTTTAGTCGTGCAATTCAAAAACTATTTGTTATGCAGATATTGCATATCCAACATTGTTAGGTGCTGGGAATATAAAGGTGAAAAGGAAATATAGTCTCTGCAATCAGGGAAATGACATTGTAATGGAAGGACATAGTATGTATTTCACTAAGTAAATATAAAACATACGTGAAGTAATTGGGAGGAGTGTGTGAAATTCATAACAAGTAAGGGAATAAGAAAATGGTTGAATCTTGAAGGAAGCTAGGAATTCCAAGAGGCTGAGTTGAGGAGAGAGGTCAGCTTAGACATGGGGAACAGTCTGTGCAAAGGCATGGAGGTTAGAGAAAGGAAGTAGTATACAGGGAACATTTGATGAGACCATATTATGAATGTGGGTGAGTAATGTGAAATCAGTTGGGAAAGATAAGTTGGGATCATATTATAAAAAACTTTAACTATCAAAACAGAAATGTGTCTTTGATCTCAGAGTATTTGAGGCTTCTTTGTGGTAGTAGGAGGAAGGTAATAAGGTCAGACCTGTTCTTTAGGAATAGCAATTTGGCAGCTGGTTAGAAAATGAATTGGAGAAGGGAAAGACTGGGCAAGGAGAACAATCAGAAAACTATTGCAAAGGTCCGTGTAAGAGATGATGAGGGTGCGAATGCACATTTATTGAGCATCCACACAGGCCAGGGCAGGGAAAACAATCTGTTCATAAGGCATTCACAAATAGCCTGATCTACTAGATTAATAATTTGGATTAATTACTGTTAGTCTTATGGAGAATAAGTTTTAAAACAAGGGGG